GACAGGGAGAGACACACAGAGACAGAATGTGATGGAGTGTGACAGAGAGGGAGAGACAGAGTGATGGAGTGTGACACAGAGAGAGTAACAGTGAAAGTAAGAGAAACAAAGTGGGATGGAGTGTAACAGTGAGAGACAGAATCTGATGGAGTGTGACAGAGAGAGAAGGTGAGTGACAGTGAGAGTAACAGTAAGAGTAACAGAGTGTGATGGAGTGTGAAAGAGAGAGAGAGAGACAGAGTGTGATGAAGTGTGACAGAGAAGGAGAGAGACAGAATGTGATGGAGTGTGACAGAGAGGGAGAGACAGAGTGTAATGGAGCGTGACAGAGAGAGAGAGGCAGAGTGTGATGGAGTGTGACAGGGAGGGAGAGAGACACAGAGTGTGATGTTGTGTGACAGAGAGACAGAGAGAGTGTGTGATGGAATGTGACAGAGAGAGGGAGTGGGAGAGAAATAGTCAGGGAGTGAAAGAATGTAAAAGCAAACATAAAAGAATTGGAGATCATGTTACAGATTGGCACTAACACATGTGCTTCTATTAACCTGAAAATATTCAGATGTACGCTGAACATTTTAACTAAGAGTTTCTCACTGACCTTCCGTCCACTGGTAGCTGGGAGAGATCTGCAGGTAACAGAGCCTCAGGCTCTGAACAGAGAGATGGATAGAAGAAAGCAGGAGAGAGGGAGGAGAAAGGGAGAGAGAGATCAGCTTGGGAACATGTCTAAGGATACAGTACCTATCAAAGAACCTCCCTATACCATCTCCCCTCTAAAATTACCACTCTCTCTGTGTCCCTTTTTCTTTCTATCGCATCTCGTTCTCACTATCTCTCTCTCTCTACCTCTCACACTATCTCTCTCTCCCTGTCTCTCTCTCTCCCTCCCTTATTCATTCTTTGTCTCTCTCACTTTCTCTCACACTACGTCTTTCTCTGTCTTTCTCACTAGCTCTCTCTCACACTATCTTTCACAGTACCTCTCTCGGTCTCAGTCTCTTTATCTCTCGATCTCTCTCACTCTCACTAGCTCTCCCTGTCACTCCATATCTCTCTTTCTGCCTCTTTCACTGTATCTCACACTACCTATCTTTCTCACTGTCACTATCTCTCTCCTTCTCACTGTCTACCCCTCACTAACTTTTTCACAGTCCCAATACTGGCTCTCCCACGCTATCGCTTTCTCACTGTATCTTTGTCCAGTTCTGTCTGATTCGATCGTTTCCTCTCTGTCTTTCAGTCAGCCTGTCTATTTCACTGTTACCTCTCTTTGTCTGCAGCTCACTTTTTTCCACTCCCACTCACACTATGCACGTCCCTGATACATTCTTTGACTCTCACACCGTCTCTTACTTTTTAATGCTCTTTTTATACCTGTCTATCACCCTCTGTCTTCGTCACTATCACATTCTCTCACTCCCTCCCTCCCTTCCACTGTATCTCTGTTACTCTACCTCTGCACAATTTACAAACTACCTGCCTCCCTCCCTCAATGCCGCTCTCTCTCTCTGTCTGATTAAATAGCATTTCCCAATTATAGCTGATCTCACGAAGAGAGGATCTATGTAATCTAAATTACTTCACTTCTGGATTAGGTGAGTCACAACCAGATTAGAGAGAGTGAAAGGGTGGGGTTTGGAAAGGAACACAAGCCTGGAATCTAACCGAGGGGTTCAGGTTGGGTTACATACAGAATTACAGATACCCGGGAGTGAGTTACAGACTGGAATCTAATCGAGGGGCTCAGGGTGGGTCATATACAGAATAACAGATACCCGGGAGAGAGTTACAGACTGGAATCTAATCGAGGGGTTCAGGTTGGGTTATATACAGAATTACAGATACCCGGGAGTGAGTTACAGACTGGAATCTAATCGAGGGGCTCAGGGTGGGTTATATACAGAATAACAGATACCCGGGAGAGAGTTACAGACTGGAATCTAATCGAGGGGTTCAGGGTGGGTTATATACAGAATAACAGATACCCGGGAGAGAGTTACAGACTGGAATCTAATCGAGGGGGTTCAGGGTGGGTTATATACAGAATAACAGATACCCGGGAGTGAGTTACAGACTGGAATCT